CCCTAAAACCAAAACCCTCAACCCTAAAACCCTAAGCCCCAAGCCCAGAGCCCTAATCCGAGAAGCACAGGTCGCTTTCCATGTTCACTATGTTAGCAAAGCGGCGAGCCGCGGAAGATGTGGAATCATCCAGGTGCTCGAAGCTGCAGATATATTCTACTTTCTGTTCTACATCAAGTTGCGAATACTAGTATTGGCACTCGACTTAATATTGGTATTGACATTCGTTACTAGAATTAGCATTTGTATCGTCAGCATTATTAATATGATTATTGTTGTGGCTGTTCTTGTTAGTAAAGGTATTGCTGTTGCTATTGCTACAATTGTTATTACTACCAACGTTACTTCCATTACCTTGTTATATAATAAATGGGTAGTTCTCTAAATTAGGGTCCTTTTAGGGTCCGTTTTCTGAGGGTACGGTACCATATTATTGGGGACCCCTAAAGGAACCCTAATTTAGAGAACTAGCCATACATTCTCACATAATCCCTAAACCCCTAAACCCAAAAAGCCTCGGCCTAGAATCCCTAAACCCTAAACCCCCAAAAAACTCTAGTCCTAGAATCCCTAAACCCCAAAAACCCTTCAAAACCCTACGCCCCTCCCCCCCCCCCATAGAAGCCCTCATTGAGGAATCCCCGGAGAGCCTTGGATTAGCTTCTCAGAGGTTCCCGTGGCCCAATACTTCCCTGAGCCTGGCCGCCAGGTGGGGGCTTTCCGAAAAATAGGGGACCCTAAGATAGTACCCCAAAGAGTAGGATCCTTATTAAAAGGACTCCAAAAGAGGGGAACCCTAAGATAGTACCCCAAGGAGTAGGATCCTTAGCATAAGGACTAAACCCTAAACCCTGTAGCATCCTTATTATAAGGACCCCAAAGTAAGGTACCCCTAATTTCCGGAAAGCCCCAAATCGCAAAGAAGGGCGGGGTCGGGGTTCTGGGGTCCTCAGTCTTCAGGGTTGATGGGCTTTTAAGGGGCTGAAAGGGTTTATAGAGGGCTTTTGAGGGGTTTAGGGCTTTTAAGGGCTTTCTGGGTTTGTTAGGTTGTTTTTAAAGGGTCTTTAGGATTTTCGGGATTCAGGGGTGGTTTTAGCGTTTAGCGTTTTAGGGTATAGGACAAGTTGGGAGGGTTCAGGGTTCTGCATCAAGGGTACCCGAAACATCCGAGCCGGACGGTGCGAAAAGCCCATAGAAGCATACGGTTACCCGAAACCCCTAAACCCTAAACCCTTTAGAACCCTTACAGGAACACTGCGACGACCAGAGAACGCAGGGGAACAGCTTTCGCCTGCATCGTCCGGGCCGCAGAGCTTGTACCCGGCCTGGCCAGAGCAGCGTTGTATCGGGGCCTTCATAATCAAAACAGGATTTTGGGGTATATTGCACAATAAATATAATTTGAAACCCCCAAAATAGTATAGGTAATTCTGAAGGCCCCTATATTAAAATAGGGCCTTAATCGTAGGGGTTTAGGGTTTGGGAAACCCTGGTCAAAGTAGTATTTCATTAATACTTGAAATAAGGATTCATAATAAGTAGATAGTGACTAGAATTAGAAGGGATCTTGGTGCTAGCGGTTCTGACCCCGAAGTCGCAGAGGGCTACAACCAGTTCTGACCTTCGACAAGAAGCGAAACTCTGTCACACAAAACAACCCCATCGTTGGGAGCGCGGCGAGGTTGCTCTCTCAAAGATCTGTATCTCCATGCAGTGTTGCTACGTCGCCGCCCCTCGCCTACGCATACCGTGACACTATCTGAACAGTCGGTGCTGACTTCTTGGACAGATGCCATGTGATAACCGTAACACATGGCAACAAGAGGAGGAGGAACCAACCAAAAAGCTATGTACACAGAACAAATGAAGGGATAAACAAACAAGTTAATATCAATATAGATATAGATAGTAGTCGTGTATATATATATATACATACGTATATGTATATGCATTCATGTATAGGCTTTCCATGTGGCCTGGCTCGCTTCGTCCACATCTGGATGCACCGTGGCCTGGGTCATTTCTCTTTGGGCTGAACCTTCTCGCTGCGGGAATCAATGCATGAATGCTGGCCCAGGTTGCATGGATCTGAATGGCAGTAGTGCCTTGAGGCACGGACCAAGAAATTGCAGTTCAAGAGGATCTGAAACTTTTCTGTGCCAGTCTTGCCCACCGTGAATTCCTGCAGTCAGGCAAGCGGGGATTGATTGCAGGCTGCACCGTGTGCGGCTCGTGTCCTGCTTCAGCACTCGCTTCTGTCCATTCACCTGGTCCTCGAGCATTTCCTGAACGCAATGTCTGCAGCGCTGCAGCAAGCATTCGACCATGAACACCATGCAGCAAACACGACTAACTCTGATCCACACCATGACGACCACCATCCTCAACAGCAACCACATCATCACCATCACCACCATCATCATCCTCATCCTCATCCTCATCATCATCAATGTGACGATCGCCAACATAATCGCCAATATCATTGGCGTCAGGGTCATTGCCGTCAGGGTGATGATGACCCATGATGAAATAGTTGCTGATTTCCATGACGATGGCAGCGATCATGACGGTAAGAATGATGATGACGATGATGATGATGATGATGATGACAATGATGATGATGGTGTGATGATGATTGTGATGATGATGATGATGATGGTGATGGTGTGTTGTTGTGGTGGTGGTGATGGTGGGCTTGGTGATGGTAATGGTGATGGTGATGATGATCATGATCATGATGGTCGTCGCCACCGCTATCGCCATCGCCATCCTCGTCCCCTCGCCTCATCCTCATCAGGAGGGTAATAACAGCATGAGGAACAGACTAGAAGCTACTTCCAACGGGCGGAAGACGACGCCTTGCACTCGCGAAACTGGTTCCAGGAACCAACCTGGGTCCATACAGACAGGTCTCTCGGTTTAGTCTCCTCCGCCTGCACAATCCGGATTGCCGAATCCCAGAAGTCGCGCTACAACCTTAGCCTCAATCTGACGGGTTCTAGATGGATTGCAAGGGCCTCCTCCCTGCGCGACCGTGGAAAAAAAAAACAGTGCCGCTGAGATGCCAGGTAGTACTTGTGAGACTTGGACATCTCCTTGTCAATAAGGGTTGCTTACTGTAATCAAGGCTATTGCAAGGATGTTCTAAGGGGTCCGTTATCAAGGGTTCTTGTAGTGGCTTGAGACCGCGAGAATTGAGATGATAATCATGAAGAACCATGTCAGGGTTTCTGCAGATCTTCCTTTGGGGGTCGAAAACTTCCGACCTAGGCTCGTGCCAGACCCTTCCAGAAACGGTCCTGAAAATCCACGGTCTCGTTTCGCAAGCGTTCCCAACCTAGGCGTCCAATCGAAGGCTGCATCAGTTTGACATAGGGGCCTATGCTTAATCATAGGGTGTAGATGGAAGATAAGGCAATACTAGTACTAGTTCTTCCGATCACTCTATCATGACACACTACGAACGGCCGAACAGAGAGCCATCCACCCGTTGCCTTTCCCAGGTTCTCCATCACAGACTGAAGCTCAGACTTCTACGGCTGAGAAAAAAGTAAAGCCTCACTGATTCCGCTCTGGTCAGCAGGAGCCTTCTGTTGCTGAGGCTGCCGGCTGATGCTCCTTTTGTCCTGCAGCCCGTGGCGACAATAATCAAAATAGCAATGGTACAGTAGTAATCAAGAACACGAATATCAACAACAAGATACGAATTCACGAATATCAATAACAAGATACGAATTCACGAATATCAATAACAAGATACGGATCAGGCCCATGTCGCTTCGATCTCTTCCGCTTGGTTTGGGCCCAACCTGGCTCCGTCGAACTTGGCGCAGGAAGGTGATCTTGAAGACATCCCCAACCTGGGAAATTGGGATGCGGTTATGCCGTCATGCTGATGGTAGAATGAGGGTGTGTATTATACTGCATCTGTCATGATGAGGTATGCATTATACTGCATTTGCTATGAGGAGGTATGTACTATACATACTGCATCTGTTATGAGGAGGTATGTTCTACTTTAGCCATAATAAAGGGAACCCTAGGAAGCAGTGCTGTCAAATACTGGTCGCTAGGAGGCTTGGTGCATCTGATGCTCCCCGCAGGCCATACAGTAGACCCCGGTAGATTATACTATGGCCATTCTGAAGAGGTACATCACGCAACCCTAAACCCTAAACCCTACAATGGACCCCCCATCGCCCGTCTTGGCTCTGGGCTTTTCCCTTCACCACCCAGTTCAAGCCCTGGCCCAGCTCATCGGGACCTCATCGAAGGAATCGCGCACATGACCCGCACAAGAGGCTTTGAGATTTACGATGTAGGGACGTGTAGGATTTCGGGTTGAGGCTTTTTGGGCTTGGGGAATCGGGTTTAGAGTGCGCAAGAACACCCAAGCCGACAACAAACAGACATGGCAGCGTGCAGCGGTGCTCCCGGTATGAATGTACCTGCTGTCCTCTGTGTGCGTCGCTATAAATACATGCATGCATACATGCATGCATGCATACAGAGACACACACACACATATATATATATATACACAGCTAAATAGCATGCAGATTACCGGTCAGGTGTCCCTCGGAAGCGGCCACTGAGTATTTTTTTGTTTTGCTGATGGGGTGCTCAGAACTGCACGGAGGCTACTACTTGGACTTTTCTTATTTTAGGGCTTAGGGTTTAGGGTAGGACTCGGAGTATGAAACCAACATCTTATGGTGAACATTAGTTGCCCTGGTCATTATTACGGCTTTGCAAATGCTGGACATACATGACTGAGTTTGAACAACTAACAACAGTGCCGCACCCTATGAGACTTTGCCGATAGAAGGTGCTGCCAGAAGACTACTATAGAGGCCCGAATACTTGCAACAGAGCTTGCTTGGGGGTCTACAAGAGCAGACAGGCAAAAAGGAACACTATTGACAATACCTCCGACCCCTGCGCTAGAGGCTTTAGCAGTCAGCCTTTGGCTGCACAAAGCATCAGTGTCGGGTTTAGGGTTTAGGGTTTAGCAAGAGTTGAACGACACTTCTGCGACAAGTAGTGGCAGGGGCAACCTGGACAAAGGCGTTCTGACTACTGCACCCGAGCCACGGAGAGCACCCTGCCCTCAAATTGTCAAAACCATGAACCCTAAACCCCAAGTACCCTAAGTACCCTAAACCCTGAACCCTAAACCCTACTACCCAAGTACCCCAAGTACCCTAAACCCTGAACCCTAAACCCTAGTACCCAAGTACCCCAAACCCAGTAGCCTTAGAGTCGCCCTCTGAAGTGCGCTGGCCTTGGATCTCTTGGTCTGAACCTCCTCCAGTCGCCTGCTCTGAGTGCTTGGAGGCCGGAGAAAACGTAGCCAGCCCGGTGGTTTAGGGTTCAGGGTTTAGTAGTTTAGGGTTTAGGGTTTAGTAGTTTAGGGTTTAGGGATTAGTAGTTTAGGGTTTAGGGTTTAGTAGTTTAGGGTTTAGGGTTTAGGGTATAGTAGTTTAGGGTTTAGGGTTTAGTAGTTTACGGTTTAGGGTTTATGTAGTAGTTTAGGGTTTTGGGGTCGGGTCGTCTTGAGAAGATTCCATTACGCAGCGAATAAGCTATAGAATAGATAGCAGCAAACGTGATTTTTCTGGAGATCATACATTATGTACAGCCGCTGTGGGTGCTCTGGAGTGTTTTGCTGCTCGTGCTCAGCATATTGAGCTGACCCGTGCAAAGATGAGATGTAAGTTCCCAGTCAGGTACACTTTCTCTCCAACGAAGACACTCTTTTTTTCACACGCAGACACCTGGGCTTCAAGGCACCCTTAAAGCGCCGAAAATACCCGACTTCTGAGATGCTTCAACCTTTCTGGGAAGCAGTTGCCGGCCTCTGGCGCAGGATAGAAGCCCTGCTCAAAGTCCCCTGCCACAGATCTTACACTCCTAGATTTTTTCGGCTAAGCATTTTATGGTTTAGGGTTTAGGGGGTTAGGGGTTTAGGGTTTAGGGGATTTTTGGTTTGGAGATTTAGGTCGAAGGATTGAGGGTTTCAGCGAAAGGGTATCGGACTTAGCGTGGTAAAGCTGGGGAAGATCGAACAAGAAAGCCCTTCGAGAACGCGCATGTGAATGCACGTACTACGTACCTACGGACATGCATGTCTTGAAGATGTCGTTTTTGGAAGACTAAATTGAGACAGTATGTTATAATATATATATACACACACATACAAACAGATGCATACATTACTTGCATGTAAGTTCGAATCTATTTGCATAGATATACACATTACTTACTGAAGCATCGGCTTACATTTACAGTTGCATTAACTTTAATCACAGAAGAACAGTACACTACACTACATTACATTGCAATGCAATACATTATGATTATGTTACATTACATGCCAGAATGTACCGTAAATACATGCATACCCACGTACACACCTACATACGTTGTGTAAACGTACGTATCTATGTCTATGTAAGTATGTACGTATGTACATATGAACGTATGTATGTATCCATTCATGCATGCATGCGTGCAGGTAGAGCGCTGTGGATAGAGAAGCAAAAGATTGATTGCTTCTGTAATCTGCTATTCGGCCCCAACGCCACCGACAGAAGCTTCGAGTGAGGGCAGGCCGGGCTGGTGTCCACCCTTGTTTGCTTCCTCGATCCCTTTGCTCCACAGAGGAAACCTGGGGAAACGAAAACTGCACAAGAAACAAACTGAATGAAGACATGCCAGTACGGACAAGATGTGGTCACCGGCGACTGAAACCAGGATTCCCTTTAAAGAAGCTTGTTCGTCCATACCGCTTTAGAGACTTCGAAAGGACTGTTCTGGGGTACGATCGCTCTGCAATTCCATATACCGGCAAAACCTTGGACTGATAGAAGCAACCCTGTCCCCCCTAAATCCAAGAAGAATCACATCAAGCATAGTAAGCCAGCAGGTGATACGGTCTCTGTAGATCTGGAAGTTGCTGGTTTCCTTCAAGATCCGCACCTCCATGGCGCTTGGGGCACATCGATCTATCCTAGCGCCCAACCGGAGCCGATCGCCTCTGCAGTGAAGACTCCCTTCTCTTCCTCCTGGCGGGACAGTCTGAAGAACCCGAAACCCAAAACCCCAAAACCCTAACCCCAAAACCCTAAACCCTAAACCCTAACCCCGAGACCCTAAACCCTAACCCAAACCCTGAACCCTAACCACCTAAAGTTTGAAGAGCAGCTACGGAGGCTTCGGACTCATGTCGAAGTTTCTGCAGCTTCGCTTCCCAGGCTCTGCATCTCGACGCCGACAACGGCATCTCCAATGAGCGCCGATCGGAAAACAGAAACTGAGCCTACATGGGTCTGACTTGTCCGGGACCATTGCTGAGGAGGGAGCAGCTCACTACGAAAGCTTCCAGATCAATCTTCGATTGCTGACTACAGGTACCATGGATCCCGTCTAGAGCCTTAAAACCACCATGGTCAAAGCTTTGTTGACCAGGTAAACAGCGCTAAGGCAGCCACCAGCCTGAGAGATGTGGTACATTGCAGCATATTACAGTCTGCCATAGCCTATTCTAGTATGCTCGAGTGTATGATGTTATGTCTTTGTTAAACAGTTAGTCAGATGAAACCCCTATCGAAATCCAAGGCCGTGGCTTATGATCCTTACTTTGCGACATTTGCTTGCAACTTTGGTCGCTGTGCCACTTGCGAGAGAATGCCTAAAGCATTGGTGAAAGCGTCCCGCTCTTCCAAGCTTGGGAGCAGCAGGCACAGCTCGCTATCACGGGTTTTCACGAGCACAGTCAGGTCAGGCTCCGTCATGGGCTCGACATGCAGGATGTCACAGAGATCTGTAAGGATAGGAGCTTCGTTCCTTTGAGCTTCGATGCCTTCGATCGTCAGTCGGTCGACCTTCTTATTCAAGGAGACCTGCACATCCACGATCTCACCCGTCTCGGCGCTCAGTTTTTGGAGGCGCCGGCCATGAACCATTGCCTTGACAAAGTCTTTCACCATGCATTTGGCCTCAGCCTTCTGGACCCTGGACATCTCCTCATATTGCCACGTATCAAACTTGGTATCCCCATCGCTGTCCTTCAAGTTCGCCTCGTTCTCACTACGCAAGGCCCGGACGGCCTTCGCCAGCTTCACCTGGGTTCTTCTTCGGTGATTTAAGAATTAGGGATCTATACTAAATAATGGAGTTTCTTGATTATGGTCCTGAACCCTAAACTCTAAGCCCCAAAACCCTGGACCCTAAACTCTTATCACGATAACTTAAATGAAATCCCCTAACAAGAGCCCAGTCACCCGCTCGAGGGCCGAGGAGAAACCCAGCTCTTGGAGGAGCTTGGCAAAGTCGGGGGAGTCAGACTCCGGTAGGTCTTTCAACCGAAGGCCTTGGTCCTGGCAAGCCCAGACGGTTTAGGGCTTAGGGGTTTAGGGGTTTAGGGTTTAGGGGTTTAGGGCTCAGGGACGAGAAATAAATCCTAAACCCTCTTCATGGGGAAGCTTTGAGCTTGAGTCAGCATCTGAGGATGTAAGTATAGAGAAGAGATTACAAGACCCAATGGTAAGATGAATTTAAGAGCACTAGACCATATCATAGTATGTCATTCCGCCATCCTAGGCCAGGCCAGGCTGTACCATAGCACAGCATACCATGAACGTACCATGACCATGACCGTGACCATCACCATACCATACCACGCCACATCGTGTCATACTGTATCATCTCGTATCACATGACTTCATATCGTATCATATCGTACCATGTCAAATCATAGCAAATAATCCGACATCACATCGTATCATACCGTATCATACGGATGGTACACTATCATGGAACTCTGCACTTCACAATGTATGCAACACCGTTCGTATTGTGCAGCAGTATCAGCTGCGGCTTGTTCTACTCGCACTCAGTAGGTAGCTTGTTTCCGAAGTCACGCCCGACTGAACACCCTTAAACCCAGAACCTCACCACGAACCCCCAGACCGTGCCTCCCGAATCACTACGATGGCTCCAAACAAAGCAGGCCACCAACTTACAGTAGTGCTTCCGGCACCATGCTGTTTCAAGAAAAGGACAAGCTTCTCAACCGGTTTGTTGTGAGAACTGCTCACTATCCGCCGCCATGTTTTGCATCCCATAAGCCATTCATCTGCCACGTACTACATCCTATGAACAGTTCACGTTGCCAACGCAGCCTTCAGAATGGAAAGCAGCCTCTCCAGAAGCTCGCTGCTCGAGCAGGCTAGCTCAGGAGCCACAAGCACGTTGGAGCGGGACTCCTCTCGTCTGAGAAAGGTCGCGCGCACCATCAGGCACGACAGTTATGATCAAAGGATTCCGAAAAAAAATTCGTCAAATTCAATCACCGTGTCGCCCTCTGAGGATATGAACGGACGACGAGCTCCATGGTGAAGAGACGCAGATACAGAAACGGAGAGAGAGAGCGAGAGAGAGATAGAGAGAGAGAGGGAGAGAGAGAGATGCA